TTGCCTTTGTTCTTTATCTTGCTGTTGTGAATGCATGGCTTTTTTTACAGCCGTGACTGTTGGTCACTAAAAACCAAATGCATGCCACTGAAGCTGTTCTGGCTTCAAATCTCTGTTACTGCAAGATCCCAAGGACAAAAGTTTAGACACAACAACATATGAACAACTCCCAGACCTTCACCAAGTACTTCCAGTGCTGACAGTGATGATCATGATTTGTCAACCTTGCAATTGCCATCTCCAGTGCAGTACCAATGTGCAGAAAGGCCTGATGACAGTGCGAGGCTTGATAAAATGCTAGGTCACTGGCCAGTGCATAGCAAGATATTTACATGCAAGTATTGCAGCACAAAGAAAAATAATGTCACATTCTCATTTTCCTGTGCTGTATGCAAAGTAGAGCGGTACGTCGAGTTACGAACTTAATTCGTTCCAGAAGGCTGTTCGAGTGCTGATACCGAATGAATTTGTTCCCATAAGGAATGTGAAAGTTGGCATCCTCTCAAAGACACGTTACTATATACCACAAACAGCACTACTTACACTATACTATTCACTGATCTACCCCTACCTCACCTATGCTATTTGTGCCTGGGGTTCCACAATGACAAATCACCTAAAGCCAATGGTACCCCAACAAAAATCTGCAGTGCAAGTGATCACACAATCCACTGCTAGACAACCCCCCCTTCCCCACTTTTCAAAGACCTACACCTACTCACTATACAAAACATTCACTCATACTACTGTGCAACCTACATTTACAGATCAAATCTAATATTACTCCTGACTTGAAGTGCTTTCTTGACAGTTGCTATAGGGCCCATAGACATAACACCAAGTGCAAAAATCTCTATGATATTCCCCATGTCAGGCTAAATCTTCAAAAACTCAATGTACATAAAAGGGCCCAAAATCTGGAATTCTCTGCCAGGAATCTCCAGAACCACTGACTCAATTAGCATTTTTAAAACTACAGTTAAAAAACACCTTATCTCTCAGCCCATCATAAATACCTATGTAAGAACTATACATGTATTTGCTCAATATCACGAACATAGGTAGAACATTATAATGAATATATACGTACTTGCTCTCAATATCTAATCTATTCAAATGTTAATCATTCCAGTGTGTCCACCTTAGGCTAATAATCAAAACTGTAAGTCCTTTCCATCAAATCTATTAAATCCATATAGCATGAACTAATGGAATACAGTGGAACCTCTACTTACAAGCTTAATCTGTTCTGTGACCTAGCTCGCAACTCAATTTGCTCGTATATCAAATCAATTTTCCTCATTTAAATTAACTGAAATGCCATTAATCCATTCCAGTGGAATTCCTGTTCTCAGGAGGCAGGACAAAATACTTCAATATAACACTAATATCAACTCTACAGCTTAATTTATCTATGACAATTGATCTAATATGACATAATAAACAATATAAATAACACAGAAACATGATATATAAATAAAATAGGACATAAGAACATAAGAAAGGAGGAACACTGCAGCAGGCCTGTTGGCCCATACTAGGCAGGTCCTTTACAATTCATCCCACTAACAAAACATTTGCCCAACCCAATTTTCAATGCTACCCAAGAAATAAGCTCTGATGTGAAAGTCCCACTCAAATCCAACCCCTCCCACTCATGTACTTATCCAACCTAAATTTGAAACTACCCAAAGTCCCAGCCTCAATAACCCAACTAGGTAGACTGTTCCACTCATCAACTACCCTGTTTCCAAACCAATACTTTCCTATGTCCTTTCTAAATCTAAACTTATCTAATTTAAATCCATTACTGCGGGTTCTCTCTTGGAGAGACATCCTCAAGACCTTATTAATATCCCCTTTATTAATACCTATCTTCCACTTATACACTTCGATCAGGTCTCCCCTCATTATTCGTCTAACAAGTGAATGTAACTTAAGAGTCTTCAATCTTTCTTCATAAGGAAGATTTCTAATGCTATGTATTAATTTGGTCATCCTACGCTGAATGTTTTCTAACGAATTTATGTCCATTCTGTAATATGGAGACCAGAACTGAGCTGCATAATCTAGGTGAGGCCTTACTAATGATGTATAAAGCTGCAGTATGACCTCTGGACTTCTGTTGCTTACACTTCTTGATATAAATCCCAGTAATCTATTTGCCTTATTACGTATGCTTAGGCATTGCTGTCTTGGTTTAAAGTTGCTGCTCACCATAACCCCCAAGTCCTTTTTGCAATCTGTATGGCTAAGTTCTACATCATTTAACTTACAAGTACAGTGGACCCCCGGTTAACGATATTTTTTCACTCCAGAAGTATGTTCAGGTGCCAGTACTGACCGAATTTGTTCCCATAAAAAATATTGTGAAGTAGATTAGTCCATTTCAGACCCCCAAACATACACGTACAAACGCACTTACATAAATACACTTACACAATTGGTCGCATTCGGAGGTAATCGTTATGCGGGGGTCCACTGTACTAGGGTTATGGGCACTCCCAAGCTTCAGAACCTTGCATTTATCTACATTGAACTGCATCTGCCACTTTTCTGACCAAGAATAGAGTTTGTTTAAATCCTCCTGAAGTTCCATAACATCTACGTTTGAATCAATTATCCTACCTATCTTTGTGTCATCGGCGAATTTGCTCATATCACTAGTAATTCCCTCATCAAGATCATTGATATATATTATAAACAACAACGGGCCCAAGACTGATCCCTGTGGAACGCCACTTGTTACAGATCCCCACTCGGATTTAACCCCATTTATGGACACTCTCTGCTTCCTGTCAGTGAGCCATGACTCGATCCACGAGAGCACTTTTCCCCCAATGCCATGAGCTGCCACTTTCTTTAACAGTCTATGGTGCGGAACTCTATCAAAAGCCTTACTAAAATCTAAGTAAATAATATCAAATTCTTTATCGTGGTCAACAGCCTCAAAAGCTTTACTGAAGAAAGTTAATAAATTAGTTAGACAAGACCGGCCTCTTGTGAATCCATGCTGAGTATCATTAATCAAGCTATGCTTATCGAGATGGCTTCTTATAATCTCAGCTATAATTGACTCTAGTAATTTGCCTACATAATATGGCGAGTGGTGGCAGCCATTCCCGCTTCTGCTCTGACCATATCTTCCCATGCTCTTATTATAAGAGAAAACTGAGTGTTTGTGAGGCTAACTTCACTAGATCACTAGTTTCATAAGGCAAACACTGAAACAAGTTATTTATATACAGTGGACCCTCTGTTTTCGTCGATCTCCGTTATTGCCGATTTCAGTTCTGGCCGACTTTTTTGTTGATTTCTGGCTTCTGTTTTCATCGATCATACAGAACCTGTCCAATCCCCAGCGCACAGACAAAGCCACCTCCCACACGCATTTTCAGCATGTGTAGCATTGTTTCTCGGTGAGTGAACATATCCTGCCAAGTCATATAAAACATTTCGTAATTATCCATTGTTTTTACCACTTGTTTATCGTGTGTGACTGCTAAATAAGCGTCCATGGCCCAAAAGAAAGCTCCTAGTCCCAATGTTTTGGTAAAGAAAGTGAGGAACACCAGAGAACTTAAAAAAGAAATCCTAAGAAAATATGATGGTGGCATATGTATTCAATTCAATTCATTTCAAGTTTATTCTCTATAAGGGTTACAATGTGGGGTTTACAGGTTTTGGGTATTGTGTGGTTTACAAGTTATAAAATACTAATTACAGAGGGGGCCACTAGGACACCTAGCATGGCTAGGCATTTCGGGCAGACTTAGATTAATTCTTAACATTAAATCCAAATTAATAATAAATAAATAAATAAATAAATTGTTGTCTGTATGTAAATCTATATTTAATCTTTAAAAAAATTATTTTTTTGTTAATACTTTTGGGTATCTGAAACAAATTAATTGGATTTACATTATTTCTTATGGGAGAAAATGGTTTCGCCATTCGGCAGACTCTCTGGAATGGATTAATCACGAAACTTGGGGGTCCACTGTATATATATAAATCAGGAGCATGGGGCTAGTAACCCCTTCTCTTGTATACATTACTAAAGTTAAAAAGAGAAACTTTTGTTTTTCCTTTCTGGGCCACCTTTCTTCAGTGGGATACAGCTGGTTTGTTGAATATAGAACATTCAGTTCCAGTATAAACTCTTCTCTGAAACTTTTCCTGGATACCTGCAACAGAACACACAGGCATAACACAAGACATTAAACCCACTTTGACATCCCCGTGTCTGATTTAACCCATGCAAAAACTCAATGCGCATAAAAGACCCTAAGATATGAAATTCATTGCTTGAAGCATCAAAAGGTTCTCTATCTGCTAATCAGTTCAGAGCTATTGTTAAAAAAGCACCTCATCTACCTAATATAATTGAAACAGCAATACACTGTGTCAAACAAAACCAGCTCATCCAACTCTTAAAGAAAATTGGTAACACATTCTGTCCCACTGTATTTCAATTGTAACTAAGTAACTTGCTGTATCTTCACTATCCCTATTCAATCACTCTACAAAACTGAAGATCATTAAATCAATTTGAAATAATACATCACACATGTGATTGTAGTTAACTGCATAAGAACTCATACTAATTAGTCTATCAAAATTTTAAGTAACTTTTAAGCATTAAGATCAGTTTGCCAGAAATGCTTTGCTTACTAGTGGCTTTATTGTGTGACTAACAATGTTTTCTTGCATGTAAACTACATTATTCTGTACTGCATAAAGAAATAAAAAATTGTATTTGTAATTTGTATCTGAATATACTCTATGTACAGTATAATGTTTTTGGAAATAGATTTTTGAATTTTGAAAGTTCTGAATATTATCACTACCCATAAAGTACGTGTTCATTTGAAATTAAGATTACCATAATAGCAAACACAGTAATGTAGAGTATCAACTGAAGAAACAATGGTCATTAAAATTTATATCAAGAATAATAGTGATGATATCTGAGTTTTGAGGATGAAATGAACACTCACAAGACGTAAAGAATAGTCTTTGAGGGAGAGGATCTTGACAGCATGATTGTTGGTGTCAGCAATGTAGAGGCAGGAGCCATCTGCACTTGCACAAAGCCCTCCAGGCTCGTTCAGCTCTCCACATCCATACACCTGAAACATTATAACATTATATAGTATAAGAACTATTATTACATGATTTGTTGAATAGCACTAATTTTGTTAATGGTAAATCAAATATGTAGCATAAGAAATGTGTATGAGAGTAAAATGGCAGGAGGAAACTAATGAGATTTTTTTTAACCCTTTCAGTGTTGGTCCCATTATGTCTTGGCTTTGAAGCCAGTGCCAGTCCAGCAGTATGGCCCCAGGAGCTCAGTTCACTCACATAAACTGTGAGCAGTAAATTTGGGCCTAGGTATGAGAGAATGGGTCTATGCAGTAAGCATGAACCATACAAAAGAAATCCTGCAGCACACAGTGGATAATGAGAAAAAACTGCGACCATATTTTTAGTGTAAAACAGCAACTTTGTGGTGTATTTTTATATGGCTTTTATGGTTGTATTCTCGGTTTCTTGGTCTCATTTGATAGAGTGAAAGATATATTACAGAAATAAAGATGATTCTGATTAATTTCAGGAATGAAAGTGGCTTGAAACTGTGATCGAAGTAGTGGAAACGTTCGATTTTTGCTGATATTCCAGAGAACACTTGTCCAATACGTGTCCAACTGGCCAGTCTAATAAACATTTAGGAATGTGCTGACATTATATATACAATTATTACAATAATGCAGTAGTTTGCATAACAGCAAATCTTTAGAATCCTTATTTTTTGTGTGAATAAAAATTCAAAATGAAAAGCAAGTGTAATATAAAAGGGGCCTGGAGACATGACTTAGGAACAGAGGAAATGTTTATTTAGTACTAGGAATGTCTACACTGTTTATTCTGGACCCTATTTTTAAATTGACAATCATTGAATTTTGCATGAAATTGGCCAAATTACCGATTTCTGATCACTTTGTGGGGTAACTGAAATATGTAAATGGGCAGTTTCATGTACTCAACTGATAGAAAAGAAGGAATACTAGTGAAATAGCTATGAGTTTGGCAGACTGGAACAATGGAATTGGTCAAAAATAGTGCGCAAAGTGGGCAAAATAGCCAATGCGTAAATATTGCTGAGACTACTAACTTTGCAAAAGCATATTTCCTTAAGTTTTTCATCAAATTTCATACTTTTGATTTCATTACCTTTGGAAATTTGATTATTTTGTTCTAGCCAGCTCATGTCTCTCTAATTCAAACTCTGGTATGGTAATTAAGTGTTCACAGAAAACTTAATTATCACTTTTTCTACCACATAAGATATACTAACATATACTTAAGATACTAAAATTTTAGCAGGGAATGTTTCTACCTTGACACTGTCTTTGATATGTATTCTCAATGGTTTTAAAGAATTTTTGTGTAATTTAAGTTAAAGTAGGTTTTTCCTTGCATTAACTCTGAACTTGTGAAATTCCAGTATTTATTACAATGTATTTGTCTGGAATAAGTTATGCTTGTTACTGTGTGACTTTTCATAAGTTATGGTTCCAGTAAAATTAGTGAATCCTCTTCCAGCTGATGCTCTTCTTTCCTTGTAGTTAATGTTTGCAAAACCAGTACAGCAATCTCCAAGTCCTTATCTACTATTCAGATTGTCAGTTCCTCTAAATTGCAGCAACCTTTGCCTCAGCCAACAGAAATCATTTTTGTTTTTGTTTTCCTGCTGTCTTCCATCTGTTCTCTTGCTTTTCCCTAGGTGCCCATTCTTCTTTATATAGCTTACTATCATATGCTTATGCCCTAAGACACAGGCATTTCTTTTTAAATTTTGTAACCTTTTTCTTTCATTAAAATAATGTATGTAAGTAAACCTTTGATTTAATAAACTAATGGGGGAAGAGGCAGAGCAGGTGGCCAGTAATGGTGACTGTGGTAGCCAGAGATGAAATTCTTTGGTCATGATTATAACAATAGTGACAACTCTGCTACCACTGGACTGTTATTTGTGAATTAACTGACAGAGCAGATTTGGCCCCATATTTCCAGAGTCAGCCAGACTGATGGTTTACTATTATTATATTTTTTTACTTGCACATCGGCGACCTCCTACCAAAACAGAAGACCCAAAAAATAAGAACATTTTCATCATTATTCACTCCATCACTGTCTTGTCAGAGGTATGCTAAGACTGCAGTTAAAAAACTGCAACATATCTCCACCCTTCCTTCAGAGTGCAGGCACTATACTTCCCACCTCCAGGACTCAAACCTGGCTAACCAGTTTTCCTGAATCCTTTCATGCTACACTGCTCACACTCCAACAGCACATTAAGTCATAAAAACCATTTGTCTCCACTTACTCCTAACTAACGTGCTCACACACTTCCTGAAAGTCTAAGCCTCTTGCACACAAAACTTTTATCCCCTCCCTCCAACCTTTCTTAGGATAACTCCTACCTCACCTTCCTTTCACTACAGATTTATACACCCAAGTTATTCTAGTTTGCTCCATCCTCTCTAAATGTCTGAACCACCTCAACAATCATTCCTCAGCCTTCTGAATATTACTTTTAGAAACCCTGCACCTCCTTCTAAGTCCAGTGCCCAGCAGGCAGACATAGCCGTCTCCCACATGCATTCTCAGGCAGTGTCGTGTTGTTTCTTGGCGAGTGAACATATCCTGCGAGGTCATACGAAACATTTTGTAATAATCCATTGTTTTTGGCACTTGTTTGTGTGTGACTGCTAAATAAGCCACCATGGCCCCAAAGAAAGCTCCGAGTGCCAGTCCTTTGGTAAAGAAAGTGAGGAACATGATAGAATTAAAGAAAGAAATCGTAGCAAAGTACCAAAGTGGAGGAGGAAGAGAGAGGGAAGAATGTGCCTTCTTCAACAATTCAGTGATTCTATGATATGTACGATACTAAAGCAGCACGAGTCAATAAAGGCTATAGCACCAGCTAAAGATAAAGTGTAGCATTAACAGTGTAGCAAGTAACTTATATGATTAATCGATAGAAAAAGAACAGCACAAACCTAACCCCTCCAATGTTGCTGGAGGTATATAGGGCTACTATGAACACCGCCGTCTCTGCTGCTGCCTTCACCACCATTATGCATGGCTTACGCTCCAGTGGCCCTTATACACCCAACAACAACAAAACAACTCCTTTCGTGACATACATAATGACATATTTCATTCAATCTAGAGTATATGTCATTTTCTATGTTATTAATATTGCTTATTATGCCATATTAGATGAATTGTGATAGATAAATAAGCTGTGGAGTTGATATTAGTGTCGCACTGAAGCATATTGTCCTGTCTCCAATAATAAACTCGCCTCCCTTTCCCCTCCTCCCAGTCTGCAATGAGTTTCAAAATAGGGCCTAGAAAACAATGCAGACATTCCTGGTACTAAAATAATATTTTATCTGTTTATTAGTTACATCTCCAGGCCCCTCTTACATAACTTGCTTTCCATTTTGAATTTTTTATTTGCACAAAAAATAGAAGATTTACTGTTTTGCAGACTACTGCATTATTGTAATAATTGTATAAACAATGTCAATGCATTCTTAACCCTTAAACTGTTCAAACGTAGATCTACGTTTTTACTGCCAGTGCTCCGAATATTTTGAAAAAAAAAAAAAAAAAAAAAGTTTTTTTGAATATTTAATTTTTTTTTTTAAATGAAGAGTGCATTTTGATGAATGTTATAGGATAAAATTTTTTTTTAGGGCCAGTACTTACTGAGATATAAGCCCGCAAAGTTCTTGCTAAATGACGAGGCATTGGCAACATGGAGCACTGCCACTTGCAGAAACAATAAACATTTATCGTTCTTTTCCAATTCTTTTCTATTTTAAGTTGTTTTCATGTTATGATAATAATGTTTTGTTGCAGATCTTTTGCTTTCATAGCCAGCTCTTGTTGTGACACAAATGTTTGGTACTGAATTAGTAATCATACTGTCACAAGGATAAGATAAGATTTTCTTTGGATTTTTAACCCTGGAGGGTTAGCCACCCAGGATAACCCAAGAAAGTCAGTGCGTTATCGAGGACTGTCTAACTTATTTCCATTGGGGTCCTTAATATTGTCCCCCAGGATGCGACCCACACCAGGTGACTAACACCCAGGTACCTTTTTGCTGAAAGTGAACGGGGAAACGGTGAAAGGAAATGGTAAAAATGTTTCCCCTCCCGGGGAATCAAACCCGGGCCCTCTGGGGGTTGAAGGGGGAGCTTTGCCCAAGGCCCCAAAGTTCCCTAAAGAATGAATTTTAAACCCCGGGTTCTCACATATATTTTTTACATATAGTATATACAAGGTATTTACAGGTCCTTTTATGTTTTAGATGCCCACCACGTATATACTAAGAAGAGGATTAATACGAGGCCCCCCCCCACATTGTACATTTTGTATTGTAATCCTTTTCGCATTTGGGGGGTCGCTGGTAGGTAAGCAACACAACCACTTTTTCTGAGAGTCCTTCTTTGAGTAGATGGTTTGGTTCAGGCAGTGATAGTTGGGGATTTTCAGTTGGGTACTTCCCTTCTTCTTGTGGGGTGAAGGTGCTGTTGTGGGGTGACGGGTTTGCTGTGGAGTGAAGGTTGGGTTTGGGGGTCCATATTTTTTCGCTATTGCTTGAGACAATAGGGTGAATTCGCATATCATTGTTGCTTCCCTGTCTTTATTTTGTCTGTTAAGGACTGGCATGCAATGGGGAAAAACACTTTTATATACCCCTTGCGCTCCTACACACACACATCAAAAAACCCTATCATCATGCAACTTGTCAACAGTTCACACTGTTTGTATGTCGTGACGCGCTGGCTTTACAATAGGTTCTTGTTGTTCTTCTCGTCGTCTGTTGCACCATCTCATTTTGTGGGTTGTAGCAATGTTACGTCCGTTTGTCGCCATGTCAGTGCCATGTGTCTTGGCATGAAAGTTCCAACACTTCCTAGGAAATTGGATGTGTTTTTCATTCTTCTCACTGTCCACATATATCGTATTGTTCACATGTAGGAAATGCGAGATAGGCTTGTATACCCGTTGTTGTGAACAATGTATACCCTTGCAAGGGATGGGT